GGGCTTCTGTAGCCCATTTTATAGGTGAAGAAACTGAGGTTCAGAAAGGGAAGGGAAAAAAAGCCCAGGATTACATTAATAAGTGACAGGAAAGGGGTTCAAATCCAAGGTTGGCCCAACTCCAAAGTCCATGTCTGAAATGCCAGAGCATGACACAGCAAACGTGGACATGGACTATGGTGGCCAGGGGGCTTCTTGAAAGACGTTGTGCTGGGATGGTCTGCGGGGGGCGGGGGGGCAGTGAAACATGAGGAACTTGCCAGGAGACAGAGAAGAGGGGCTCCGGCCCGAGCCCGGCCACTCCCTGGCCGGTGTGGCCTTGGACAGTCCCTGGGTCAAGGATTCCACAAGTCAGGCTAAAACAGTGGTCTGGGCAGTGATGGTGGCTGGTGAGCGAATATGATCTTCCCCTGCCCCGTCTAAGAAGTGAACCTTCAAGTCCCCCTTGGCCCACACCCCCCGCAAACCCTGCACCTCTGGAGTTAGGAGCCCAGCTGCTGGCTGGAGGTCTGGATGGCATTAGTTAGAAACATAGCCTGGGTACTGGACAGGCCTGGCTTTGAATCCTAGATCCACCACCTTCTCAGATGAGTCAGCCTTGGACGTGACTCTTCTTGTCCTTGTTCTCAGTGTCCTAAACCATAAAGTTGGATCATTATATTGATCTGAAAGAGTAGTTGTGAGAATGAAAACAAATAATAATACCTGATACTTACTGGAAAATTCTGGTACCCAAAATTCCAAGAGTATGACTGATTTTTTTTTTTCATTAAATTTCCTAACCACGCTGTGAAGCTATTACTCTCATTTACAGATGTGGCAGTGGAGGAACAGAGTGGTGATGATCATTGCCCAAGTTCACACCCTTGTTCTGCTTGGCTTCCTGTCTGTCCCACAGGAAATGTCTCACAGTTACAACTGTAACTAGTTCTGACACATGGGTCCCCCACATGCATCTCCGTGTCTCTGAAATGAGGATGTCTCTGACAACTGATGTCCAAGGAACATGTCAGCCAGCAGGCGGAGGGAGAGTTAGGTGTCCTCACTGTCTCTGGCCAGTTCCTCGGATGGCTGAGATCAAGCCTGATGGAATTTTATCAGATTGAATCCCTAATTATCACTTACAGTGGCTTCTAAAATGATGCCACATGGAAATAGAAGGTTAGTGAGTGTTCAGAAGGTTATCGTCACCCAGGCAAAACAAAACTTGCCAAATTCATCCAAAGAACGTGAAGAACTTTAATCTTTGAGCAAGTCACCAAAGTGACCATGATGTGCAATTTTAGAAATAAAAACACTACTCTAAGTTTTTTAGAGGGCACACCTGATACACTGTTTTCACCAAAGTTACTAAATAGATGTATTTTCTTTAAAAATCTTATAATTGATAACATCATTAAAAAAAGTGGAAGTAACTCAGTTGTGTCTGACTCTTGGTAACCCCATGGACTGTAGCCGGCCAGGTTCCTCTGTCCATGGAATTACCCAGGCAAGAATACTGGGTTGCCACAGTATCAAGTAAATCCAAAATGGTCATGACTGTTTGCATTGTGAGCACCAAAAACCCACTTTAAACTGGCTTAAGTGAAAAAGGTACTTTATTGGCTCTTGGATGTAGAAAGCCTAAGAATAGTCAGTTGGCTTCAAGCACAGCTGGACTGGGGCCCTTCTGGTGGCTCAGACAGTAAAGAATCCACCTGCAATGCAGGAGAGCTGGGTTCGATCCCTGGGTTGGGAAGATCCCCTAGGGAAGGGAATGGCAACCCACTCCAGGATTCTTGCCCAGAGAGTTCCATGGAAGAGGAGCCTGGCGGGCTACAGTCCATGGGGCTGCAGAGTCAGACACGACTGAGCGACTAACACACACACACACGCACACACACACACACACACACACACACGCACGCATGCACACCCTGGACTGGAGGGATCAGGCTGCAGCACCAAGCCCTGATGTCCTAGCCCCCAGCTCTGCCTCTCTGCAAAGGCTCCATTTCCAGCAGAGGCAGGACAGCTGCCAGCAACTCCAGCAGCCAGCCCTCTCAGGTTTGATGCTCCCATTCTTCTCAACATTTGGAATAAATCCTAAGCCCAACTGTCAGTGATTGGAACGGGGCTACGTGACTACCCTCTGGACAGTTCACTGGAGGCTCAGGGGATGGAATGCAGGTCTAGGCCTGGCTTAGTCACTCTTGTCCCCTTGTAGTCAGGCGTAGTTTCAACTCCATCCACTGCCCGAGACTGAGGTGGGGGAGGAGGCTTCCCCTGAAGAAAATCAGGGGTTGATACCATAAGGAGAAGTGAATGCTGGGTGACCCCCCAGATTATAACTGTCTTTGGAAAACAATATTTGGTGATGAAAGGAAGGTTCAGAGAGGTGGCTTGTACCAGATCATCCACCTGGCTGCTCAGGTGGCCCCAGAAGGGGAAGTACCATTGTCAGCCCACCTGTGAAGAGTGGGAAGAATCCTTGGAGGCCCCTGGTGTGGTGGGCGGGGAAGCTGGAGGCCCAGAGCGGGAGAATGACCGGCCCAAGGTGATTTAGCAGCCCCTGGCGTGGACGAGCGCAGGTGTCTTGGTCCCCCATCCAGTGCTCCCAGCTGATGCTGTGAGTACCCAAGGGGACTTTGGGATGGGGGCCTCCAGCTGGTTCATCATTCTTGGAGGAGAAGCTCCATCAGCCTCTTTGGGAAAGGACTTTCTCCCAGCAGATGTAGTGGGGTGGCTTTAACAAGCCACCTCATCCCCGGCCTCATCCCTGCTGTACTGAGATCTCCCAGTCTGTCTCAGCTGGGAGTTGGGTGAGGGGCCCAAGACTCCCACAGGCCTTCCCAGTCTTCGACGGTGCCAATCTGATGCCTTAATCTTGTATAAAATGCAAGCCCAGGCCAGCACCTCCACCTGCTCCAGCTACCCTGCCTTCTGTGGATTCTGGAGCCACCACTGCTAGCCAGGCTGGATCTTCCCATGTCTTTTTCCACTCTGGGAAGGGCCACATTGTTACCCAGCCAGATCCTAAGAACACAGCAGTGTTTTCTTATCTAGTGTTCAAAGCCGGGAACCCAGCAAGCATGCACCCACCAGCCCTGCTGTCTCTGGAATTCTCTGTGGTGGGGGGACTTGGGTGCACTAGTCTGATTCGGAGTGGTAAGGAGGCCGGGTAAGGCTTCCTTTGCATAATAAACACATAATTTTATGTAGATGGTGCATCTTTTGGGGGTGATGGAGGGGCTTCTGGTAGAGATTAGGAGGGGCTTAAGCACCCACTGAGTTTCCCTGGTAGCTCAGATGGTAAAGAATCTGGCTGCAATGCAGGAGACCTGGGTTTGATCCCTGAGTCGGGAAAATCCCCTGGAGAAGGAAATGGCAACCCACTCCAGTATTCTTGCCAGAAGAACCCTATGGACGCAGGAGCCACTGGCCCATCCCTGATGTTATCACCAATTTAAATTTGAGGAACCAGGCCTACCCCAAGGACAGGGCACCTATGGTGGAAATGGAAATCGGTCCTTCAAATAGTGGGAAAGACGTGGGGTGGGGGGCTGGGTGCAAGGACATCTTCCCAGCTTGTTGGGACTTCCAACAAGGACAACTGAGGATTGTATTTATGACATAGAAAGCTTTAAATGAAAAAAAAAAAGGAAATTTACAAGAAAATGTGTGTGTAAGGAGGTAGGGTGTGTGTGTTAATCAAGTTTATGGTGGTCAAGAGCATAGGATTTGGAGCCAGACCGCTCAGGTTCAACTATTGCTTTCACCCCTTACTTAACCTTGGTAATTTTATTTAGACTCTGTGCCTCGATTTCTTCATCTGCAAAATGGGGATAGTAACAAAGTGAAGACTCCAGGAGATAACTCCATCGTCCGGGCACATGTGAGTGCTCAGACGGTGTTAATCTTGCTAGTCTCCTGCGCAGGGACTTGTTTCCTACAATCTTTGGCAGTCAGACTCCGGCCTGACCCCAGCTGGCCCCACCCTGGCTCCGGAAGCCAGCAGCCCCGCTGAGGCCTCAGTCCATTGTTCCCTCCTTCCTGCTCAGCTTCGCAGCTCCGCAGCTCCAGCCAGGGCGCATCCGGGCTGGGGAGCCCACCCTCACACCACCCCCCACTCCCCCCGCCGCCGCCGACCCACTCCCAGTCAGTCCCAGTCAGGCCCCTCCCGCTTGGAGTTGGATCCCTGGACAGCTACGAGGCCTCGGTCCAGCTCACCCCAGTCTCCTCTCTAGAAAAACTGAAAACAGCCGAGGCACCTCTCAGGGCTGACTGAGGGTTCAATGAGATCACGTGTGCAGGAGGCTGAGCTCCAGGTCTGGTGTCCCACCCAGAGTATGGCTGTCCTTGCAGGTACTGTCAATTTAGGGGGATGGCTGCTCCCTCCAGGGCGCAAGGGGGACTGGTTCAGTTGTAGTGTCTGGGCTGGAGTGGATTTCTTAGATCACGCTACCTCTCCTCACCCCACCACTCAACCTCTCCCTTGGCATGAGGCAAAAAGTGGGTAAAAGGGTTGGACAGCTTTCCCAAGCTGGCAGCTGGAAGAGATGGGCTCAGGAGTCCTTGCATCCTGGCTCTGCCTTGGAATTGCTATATGGCCTTGGGCAAGGCCTCCCCTTCTCTGTGCTCCCCTTTCCCTCCTCTCTGGCTGTACTGCTGGCTGGCTGGGTAACTGTGGGAAAGTTGATCCCCCCAGGACTCAATTTGCCCTATCTGCCAAATGGCCTGCACCCCTAGATTAACGAGGTGACTGCTGGTCTCAGGAAGTTTCTTTCTTGTCTTTCTGCTGCCCTGTCCCCCATTTCTCTGCTCAGACAAGCCCCACACTGGGCTGGCCACAGGAGGCTTCCGGAAGAGTACGTCCAAACCTTATCAGCATATCTCTTTGTGCTGGGCAGGATCAGGATCTGGTTTTTGATATGCTTTCTCTCCACTCTCAGCCCAGGAGGCAGAACAGGCCTCCCTGTCCACAAGTTGGCTTTGACGCAACATGAACAACACACGGCAGCATGCTGAGTGAACACTGTGCTGCAGCGAGCCTCCTGTCATCAGAGGAAGTTTGCTCAAGGCGTGAGGTGCGGGGAGGAACCCGGGCTTACATCACGTCACAGCGTCAAAGCCGCAGCCTATTCTCAGAGTACCGCCTGCGGGCTTCACACCCCCGGGGGACCTCTCTGGCCATTGTGTTCCTGCCAGTGGCTGTCATTTTGCTGCCTTCCCTCTCCTGCTTCCCTCCTTTTGCTCCCCAGTCCTGTGGACTGCAACAGAAACCCCTGAATCTTCTCTTCCCGTTATACGAACAATTGCTTTGTTCCCAGTTTCGATAGGGGCAACTGGGGGGGGGGGTGGCTTGGTTGCCCCCAGGCTGTGCTGTGCTGTGCTTAGTCACTCAGTCGTGGCGGACTCTTTTGTGACCCCATGAACTGTAGCCCTCCAAGCTCCTCTGTTCATGGGGATTCTCCAGGCAAAAATACTGGAGTGGGTCGCCATGCCCTCCTCCAGGGGAGCTTCACAATCCAGGGATTGAACCCACCTCTCTTGCATTGCAGGCAGATTCTTTACTGTCTGAGTCACAAGAGAAGCCCATGAATACCAGACTGGGTAGCTTATCCCTTCTCCAGGGGATCTTGCTGACCCAGGAATAGAACCAGGGTCTCCTGCACTGCAGGCAGATTCTTTACCAGCTGAGCTACTAGGGAAGCCTGGATGACCTATAATCTCCATTGATTCCCCCCAAATCATCCCAAATAGATAAGGAAATCTTAGGAATATTTTATGCTTTATAAACACAGTCTTAAAATAAGCTCCTTGCCTCCCCTAAGCTTCTCTTTGCCAACCTTCTGCTCTCAAGTTTTCCCAGCCGAGCTCATCAAAGGGCTCAGTAGGGCAAAGGGTGTTCCACTGAAAAGTATTTCCTTCCATGAAAGGCTGCTGAGAATATAAAAGCTTTTTATTTCCCCATGCTACCTGTGTATTTTAATTACCCTTCACCATAACTGCTGTTTGAGAAGTATGGGTTCGATTTTGCAGAAGAGGAACCTGGTGGATTGGAAGGCCTGTCTGGCCTGACAGCTGCAGGCTCGGGGCTGTCAGATGTCTTTCTTCTCTTCAGCCCCCCACGCCAGGTAGGTCCCTGGATGGACTCAGTGTGGCCCCACCCCCACATCCAGGACACAGAGGCTCCCTCTGCCCCTGCACAGGTGACCACAGCCACCTGGTGACCCCCCGAACAGAGGCCTGAGGTGGTCCTTAGTGTCATTCTCCATGTTATTTCCCAGTTGCTGCCCTCCAGGCACGTGGGGAGATGGCACGTCCTGCCCCCTTGTGATCGAGTGGGGTCATCTGTCTAGCCCTGGCCAGTGAGGTATATGTGAGCAGAAGCAATTGCCAGGTGAAGATGCTCTTCCTCCATCGTGGCTTCTGCTAGCCTTTGAGGTGGTGGCTGCTCCGTCGCCTGGGCCCTGGGGGGGGGTGACCGGAGAGCCCCACCAACTTGTGATGAATATGCCGGTGCCGCTGAGACTGGGGTGGTTTGTTATGCAGCGCGTGTGACCGCTCCTCCCTTGACTAGTACATTTCTCCAGAAAGCAGAACCAAGGTAGAGCTGAGAAATGGGGTGGAGGATGTTCAGTCTCTGGAGACCTGTCTTGTGTTCTTTTATGAGGTGGTTCATCAGGTGTGGCCAAAGAGCAGGCAGAGGAGAGGCTCAGGGAAACAAAGGTTCTATGCATGCACAAGTCTAGAGACAGGAAGCATACGTGCCATGCGTGGCAAAAACATAGGGTGGTCAGGAGGGGGAGGGGAGAATGCTTAAGCCACAGCCTTTTTTGGGGTTTCCAAGGAAAAGGCAAAGTAGGGCAAGGTGGACAGTTTGGGAAGGACTGGTCCCAATAACTTCAGTGGCCTCTGGGCTATGGGGGCATTTCCAGCTGCCGAATACCTGGCCCTGGGGTGATTAAGCAGAGGGATTTTGCCTATCAGCACAGGCTGATAGATATCTGGCTCTGGGTGTATGATGCCAAATGCCTAGGCTGGATACCTGCGGTGTCTCGGGCCCAGCAGGGACCGACTGAAGCGGAGTTGGCCCTTTGCTGGATCTTAGCACATCTTGACACGAGGGGCAGAACTGCTTGTCCACCCAGTAAGCACCCTCCCCTTTTCCTTTGTAACAGAGCTCCAACATTATCTTGTAATGCGCCCAGCCTTGCGTGCAACTGTGTAGCCATGTGATTAAATCCTTGCCACCTAAGTACCTAAGTAAGTCGAAGTCTGCTGGACTTCTTGGTGGGCTTCCTATAGGGGGTCCCTCAGCTGGAGGTGCTTCTGCGCTCTCCTTCCGGCTGTTGCAGCTGCAGCCCCATCCACGTTCTGACTGGTACAGGTGGTACACGGTGAGTGTGAAAATTGCGAAGACTGGGAAGATGCTTCAATACCTAATGAAGATCATAAAACCTCCTATAAAAATTCACTGCCCAGGAAGATGGGCCACAATTCCCATGTGTTTTGTACTCAGCTAGCAAAGCCCTACTGTAAGGGGCTGGAAGAGATATATCTGGGTGGGCTGAAGGGACTGGGGACGTTTTTCTGGCCCTGGAGGAGAGTGATTCTTTAGCAAAGCAACTCAGGCTACTGGAGAAGTGGGGCTTTGGACATACATTTTAGGGCTCTCTCTGCCTTCTTCTCCTCCCCGAGTTGCATTAGGACCCATGCACCTCCACCCCACAGCCTTCCCCAGAAACTGGCTCTCTGCCAGGCAAAGGCAGGGAAAAGGGGTGTTCCCAGCTGGCTCTCCAAGCTCTCTTCAGAAGGAAAGCCAGGCTTCTCCAGGAAATGGAGCAGAGAATTAGTAAGAGAAGACTAGTGTGGGGAGACCCCAGACCTCTCATGGCTGCTCTCTGAGCCAGACAAATCCCTCCACTGACTTGGGTTCCCACCTATAAGATGGGATAATAATACCCTGCCTGCCTCCCTCCCAGGGATGTTGAGGGACCATCCTGCAAAGCTCAGAGGCATGCAGAAGGCAGGGGAATTATAAATGTGCAAGCTGGAGGTGTGGGGTTGGTCCCCTCACAGGAAGCAAAAAGCAGTGACCTACGTCCTGGTGGTGGTCACCAGTCCTGGCTCAGGTCTGATGGACCCAGATCAACAGCGCTCATGCCTCCTGTGATCCTGGACCTGAGCTTTCTCATCAGTAAACCGGCATTATTTCTGTAGACAAGGATGGAAGCTGACAAATGTGAGCCACCTGGCGCAGCACCTGGTTCATGGCAGCCCTCAGAACTGGGTGGGTCTTCGACCACCCACCCCTGGGGTTAGTGGACATGTGCATTCTTACCAGATGCCCTGTTTTCAAGCAGCCTTTGTGTCTGGTGAATGCCCCACCTAATGACATTATACTAATGAGGGTGAAGGGCAGGGAAGCTTGGCAGGCTGCATGCAGTCCACGGGGACGCAAAGAGCCGGACATGACTGAGCAACTGAACAACACTGATACTTCCAACAGAGCACCCTTAATTTACCACATGCTTTGCAGTGAGGGCTGGGCACACAACTAAGACTCCCCCAGTCACGTGCCCCCAGTGCAAAACTTTGGGGGATCCATGACCCAAGGAGACAGGGGCACACAGAACCACTTTGCCCAGGCCTACATCCAGAGTCTGGAGTGACCAGGGACAGAGGTTCTGCAGGGACTGGCCCGGTCTGGGAGTCAATGAGATGGGTTGCCATGTCAGTGTCCTGTGATTAGGGGCTGAGAGGTGATCTGGGTCATAAGACTTCCACGCTGGACTTGCTGACTGACTTAGACGTGGTGGGCTCCCCAGTAACCTTTAATAAGTTCCTTTCTTGCTTAAGTAACCCACAGCCGGTTTCTGTTGATGGGCGACCACAAACTCTGGTTGACTCCCCTCCTCAAGCCCAAATGCGGACACTTCCCCTATCCCCAAGTTGCTCGTGTCTGTTTAGATGCTCCTCCTGTGCCTCTGGTCAAGAAGCTTGGCTGCTGCGACCAACTTTCACCAGCAAATTACCAAGTTAGACCCAGGGCCAGGCTAATGAGGGTGGCACAGCCGCCACAACCTGCAAGGGGAAAGCAGACAGATCCTGGGTTCAAATCCCAGTTCCACGGCTTACCACGTGTGATCATGGGCCCTCCACACACCTCTCCGAGTCTCAGTTTACTTGTCACAACACCCCAGTGGTCCTGTTTTAGGGGTTTCAAGGAGGTAAGGGGTGGAAAGCCCCTTGCCCCATGCTTAGCACACTGTAGGCACTGGATCTGAGAAGAAACTGGGTCGGGAAGGAGAAAGACGTTAGCTCTCACGTTATGGGTTGTGTCCCGGTCACCTGGAGAGGTGAGTCAAAGGCAGAGTAGGGTGCAGCAAGCCTGGCTGTGCCCTGGGATCTGTCTTTTTAACAAGTGTTCTCTACTCAGAGGTCTCTGTTGCAGGTGGCTGGGGTCAGTACCCTTGGAGAAACACAGGATTCAAGGGGAAGATGAGAGGAAGCGAGGGCCCAGATGGTGGGGCCGCCACAGTAGTGGGCCATCTGGGGACCTCAGCTTCCCACTTGCTGGAAGCTTATCCTGGGAGAAGCTCCAACCTGGATGGATGGTCCAGAAAGGATGCACGTAATTTGTTTATTTGATCTCTGATCACATTTAAAGCAGTAATGGATACACTTTTTCTCACCTGGTTAAAACAAAAATTCAATAACGTGGATATTATAACAATTCAAGTTTAGCTGGCTCTTCCCATGGGCCCCGTGTCATTGCGTACTTTGTGCTAATAAATACGAAGTGAAATCATTCTCACAGGTGAGGAAACTGAGGCCCAGAGAGGTGGAGTGACCTCTCACGCGGCCTAAGCTCACATGGCCTAAGCATAGAGATTTTAGCCCAGGCAGGCTGGGATTCCACAGCCATACAATATGCTGTGCCCCCTTTAGGATATCACTTCGGGTGTTTTTTGAGGGGGTGGTATTGTAAGGGGTCTCTGGCCGGTGCCTGTCTTCCAAGCAAGGGGCTAAGTAGAGCTAAATGGGGTGAAGCATGAGGGAGTCAGCCCTCTGGCTCTCAGCTCCCACCTGGGAAATCCATGATTCAGCTTTGTGGGGATGGGGAAGACTTCCAGAGCCCTGACGGCTAGATTCAGTTCACAGCCACGGCCTGTTCACACACTCCGCTGTTTGGCCTTAGGCAGAGTGCTCCACCCTCCTCATCTGGGGGCTGCTGGTAACAGCGTGAGAACAGCGTGAGAGCAGAGCGTCCCACGTGCAGGCGGAGCACTTCCTGTTACCATTTAGCGGTACTGAGGCAGCTGTGGTGACG